CCGCTAGATGTCGCTAAAAGTTACACACTGTAGCTTTAAAGATATTATTGCCGGTATTTATGTTAGAAGGTTGTAAAAAGCAGCAGCCTCCACTGACTTCCCTCTCTCTAATCTCTTCCAGTTTCAACCGTCTGGATTTGCCTCCATATAAAAGTTACGAGCAGCTGAAGGAGAAGCTGCTCTTTGCCATCGAGGAAACGGAAGGATTTGGCCAAGAATAGAGGGTCAACGTTTCCCTCTGCTACACCCCACCCCCCCCAGCTGTTCGTTCAGCCAAGAAAAGCAAACAAAAGAATTGCACAATATAACCACCAATGTATATAAGCTATTTTGTCATTTTTAAACCAAATCCTGATTTGCAGCATACTTCTGTTGCCGCATTCCCCAATCCTTATATAATATCTATCTACCCTCCATGGAAATATGCAAACATTTCATCTGTCTGCTGTTTAAAAACAGAAATCCTCTTCTCCCACAGCTAAATGGCTTTTGAAAATGGACTTTTTTTTTTTTATAGAGGATTTTATAGTTTAGGCTCCAACCTTCTTTTAAAGCTCTAGTTCTATAGAGCTGTTAAAAGGCGATTTAGTGCCTGAAATTGTCTTTTCCTGTCGGACGGATAGTGGTTTTAGAAATCCTGCATTCTTGCATGCTGCCTATGAAGATTAGACGGCTGCCTCGTCCGGCGCCGCGGGCGCGCACGCAGGATCCCGGCATCATTGAATGAGCTTCAGGTGCCACGGATCTGAGGCACAGAACGTGGCTACCCAGTCGTTTAGAATCGGGATCAGATTCCTTCTCTTCTCTTAGAAGGTAGGAAATCTGACTCATCTTTAAATATTTGTGGACTCATAGGAGATCTTAGATATTTTAAAAATTTCATTGAAAAACAAGCCATTTGTGTGTGTGAGTGAATAGTGCCGTTTTATGCCAGAGATGATCCAGGCTAAGTTAGACTGTAGCCTGTTTGCACACTGTGACGCGACGAGAGAGGGGCTTTAGGATGCCGAGCCACATGGACGACTTTGATAATCTGCCGCTTTAATTTGCAAATTCAGAAAATATTCTGGCTCCGTTTGCAGATATTAGAGTCGGACTCGGCTGCAACCGACTGTCCTTTTGAAGCCACTGTGTTTGATGCAGCACTGCGTGACATTGTCAACCCTTTAGCACGCGGTGCTAGCATACAAATACAATCCCAACCATGACTACCAGAATATATTTAGCCATGAATGTCATGTAGTAAAGTGCAACTGATAGTGTTGGGGGGAAAAATACAACTTAAACAAGTGGGCAAAATGGGGGAGGGGCTTAAGTTCATCCATGATGCTCACATTTGAGTTGAGAAAGCCTTATTTCTATCATGCCTCAGCCCATGTTTCTTTGTTTCCTTCCGTTCTTAAAGAGACAGTCCCTGTTTATTTTCACATCAGACTCTGCTTGTTTCAGCTGGAAGAGAGAAATAATACATGCAGGCAGCGGGTAGCAGGTCTGGACTTGGATCACTGCAAACTGCCTCAAGCTGCTGTCCTGGGGGGTAGCTTGTTATCAGTGATGTAAATAACATGTATTCAGCTGATGGGGAAGAGAGGAAGGATGGCATCGGTAGCAAATGGAGGCTTTTTTTTTTTTTTTTCTTCAGAGATCCATCAAAACTGTGCTTCCTTTTCAGCAGAAACCTGTAATCCAAATCAGTTGTGTATCTGAGTTTCGATTGCATAAAGTCGACAGTAAATGAAGTACTTAAAATATTCAAATCCAGCACACGCTGATGGAAATCTGTGATGCCTTTGTCCTTTATCAGAACAGCTGGGGGCGTTTCAGGTCGCATGCAGCCGGCGAGTTGGTCCAGATCGTGCTGCTCTAAAAAAAAAAGCACATTTTGACTCGCATGGGGCTCTGGGCCTCCTGAAACGCCCCCACTCTAACATATCACGTGTAGATACACACTGTAAAACACACACCACACTGTACAGAATGCCCCTTTACTGGAGACCATGTGTATAGAAGATTCATTTTTAATCTGCTTTCACCCATTTTGAATGGAGAGAGATGGATTTATGAGATACAAATAAATGACTAAACCCTGATCATTGGTTTGGCTTTTACTAGTGATGTTATGAGATGAGCCGAGGCTTCGAGGCGTGTGTCCAGTAATGGAGGGGGCGTTTCCCTGAAGCGCGTGTCAAGGCGTGATTCATTTAGAGGAGGGGCCAAAATTGATGACGTCCGAGGCCTCGCTACCGTGATACCACGTGACCGCTTCAGGAAATTCAAGATTCTTGACAGGAATCTAAACAGACTCAGTGTTCAGTCAAGATGTGGGAGTTTGGAGGAGAGTTGCTGTCAGCTGGATAAAGTTTGGAAAGATTCTAAGAATAGATTGGTTGGAAAAACAACCAAACTAGTTGCTTAAAGCTAATTTGGTTAGAATAAACAATGTAATGATCAAGGTTTCAGCAAACCACCGGGCAAAACCAGTGTTAACACGTCAGTATTAAGGAGTATTTTCTCCCAACTATGGTTGCCTACATAGGTGGTGTCATCTGTAGGAGACACACTGGAAAAAATCTAAATCTAGATAAGTAATTTCTTCTTAAAATTAGTGCATTTATTCTTGGATTGAGGAGGTAAGAGACATTTTGCCAATGGAACAACACAATTTAAACTTAAAATAAGAAAACACAGTTGTGTTGTCTTGTTCCAAGTGCATATTATCTAATTATCTTATTTTAAGAGTAAAAATACTAATTCCATTTACCAGCTCAAATTAAGGGTAAAAACACTTTAAGATTTTTTTTTACTTGTATCTAGATATTTTTTCCAGTGCAGGCTCTCACTCTAGAGGTTGATGGTTCAAGACCTGTCTTTGGCTTTTGAAAGTTGCAGTTAAACTTAATTATTTTGGCTGATGAGACTAATTTGCATTGTTTTGCCTGAGTAAAAATATAGATTGAGTAAATTAGGTTGGTTTAGCCAAAAGATTGGTTGAATACAACTTCCAATCTGATTAAAACGAAAAAAACGGGGGAAAACTATCATGTTTGAATAAAAAGGACTAACACCTTTTATTTTGCTCATCATTGCCCAATTTGCACAAACACTTTCACTGTCTGCTTGAGTTTATTTCACTAAAATGGCAGAAAAACTGCACCTTAAGATTGTTCTAAGAAATTTTACACTTAAAAACTTACAAAAGATTTTATTATACACACCAACCATTAATAATTTCAAGGGGACTTAAAAGGGAACAGTTGCAAAAAAATCACATTTTATTACAAACTGTAGTTCTGCACTCCACCAGTAGGTGGTGACATGTTCACATGAAGCCTCATGAACTGTGGGGATCGTTGAAGCCAGAGGCCTGTAGCCTCGTGAGACCATCCTGATCTCGCAAGCTTTCAAGATTTCACT